AATTATGAAAAGCTAATGAGTCCTACATTCTTATTATAGCGTACTTTTTTGCCTCCCTTATGGAAAAACTCCAGGAAAGACATCGATGCCATCCCTCCCGGGGCTCATACACTGCACCACCGGTGATAAGACAGTCTATTAGCAGTCAATCAGTGGTGATAACCGATTGATTGGCGGCACAAACGGTACACGAGTAGTGATATAGCAAAATGTGCTACGATTTATTGCTTGGATATATTGGTGGTGACAGTCAATGGCTATGGTTTAGTCCACACACCGCTGCAAATGCACTGAAATATTGGTGTTTTTGTGTCCGATATAAGCAAATAGTGTCTCAAATAGGAGTCACTTCTCATGCATCCCATCAGCGATGACTCACTCCTATGTTTAGCAATACCGACGACAATAACGTTAAGAGTATTACAGATATTATATTAACACTGTTTTCATGATATAATTCACGAGATATTCACTGTATTTGACAAATTAGACCATATATTCAGTCCATTTTGTGAATGCATATGAAAATGAGATTATTTCACATAATTTGTTCATAAAATACACAATTTATGACATAAACTAACNTTAATGCTGATGTTTAGTTTTTGAAACAAAGTTTATACCGCTTTTATGTAACATTGAAATTGCCTAGACACTATTAAAACCTATTTTATACGTGAGGCCAGTTTTAATGTAATTTTACGGGAAGTTATTTAGCATATTATTTGTTTTGTTTTAATACAATGCCTTAAAAGCAATGGTTTTAAAATTAATTGTTTAAAAGTTTGCTATTCATTCAAATTCATCCATGAATTGAATCAAAAGAAATTTATTTTCTCTAAAAAAGCATTAATTCTATTGAATATTGAATCGAAAATTGAGAATTAAATGGATTTTTATTTGTTTTTCAGAAATGAGGGCTCATTTTGGTCTCACTTTCCTATTAATTAAATTCTTAAGTAATGAATGCCTTAAATGAATGCATACTTTGAATGAATATAATTTCATTTATGTTTGTTTTTTTGTATCGACAATACTATATGTATGTCATTAACATTATTCTCTTAACAAGTGGTGATTGAATGCAGACTTTTGCTAATCATTCATAAAAATTTTTGCTTATCATATGGTTATCTAAAGTTTAGATAATTCACAGATAAACATTGTTTATAGTGTACAAAATATTTGTATAATTCAAATAGGAATTCTTATTATGACACAATTATATATAATTTAATTTAGCGAGATTTTACTGTATCCAGAATATATATATAAACAACAGTTATATGACTTATTTGCGAAAATATTTTGTTTATTTTCCCGTTTGGATGCAAATTATATTTAATTGATAAATATATGAGAAAATGTTTTATTTTATTGTTAATTACGATAAGAATTCAATGATTTCTCAATAAATTATATGTCAATTGACGGTTGAAATTGATTTAATTATCTGTTATTTATTTAATATTTGGGATTTTATTTTTTGTTTTGGTTCCGCCACCACTTTATAAGGGAGTGTGAATTAACTTTTTTAAAAACAATATCAAAAGTTTTGTACCCAAAAAAGTCGCCCAAATTATTTGGGATACAAAACTTAAAATGCAGGGATAGTCACTACAAATGCATTATTAAATACATTATATAAATCATATAAATAAAATTATTATTATTTGTTGTACTGTATGTTAACAAAACTTATTTCACTTAAAAGTTATTTTTAGTGTTAATTTGTAACAATTTATTATTAATAAAAAGCCATTAGAGACTCCAACGTTAGGTGCTTACGAATACTTTGCAACACTTTTAGAATTTTTTAAATAAAAAATAATGTTTTGTTATTATCTTTTTTATTGAGAAGTCATTGGAAACTAGTTTTTGAAATCTTTGTTTTTAATCAAAGGCATTAATAACACAAATAAATACTGTAGTTTATATTTTGTGTATAAAACCGGAATAAATAAATAAATATGTTTTTCTTTTGAAAAAATAGTGGTAATAAATGACAAGTTTTTAATATAAACAAAATAAATTGCAAAATTAATGTCTATAAGTTTAATAGTTTGAGACAAAATTGTATTTTTGGTTTGAGTTCACATCATTTTATATACTATCAGTTGAAAAGTCGGCAGATTTTTAATGCATATTTGAATGTAAACTTCCTTTCGGGCTATTAATTGATTTTGAAATACATATCAGGTTTAAAATGTTGAGATATTCTTAAGAAGTTTTAATTGATATAAAACATTATACTCTATTAAAAGTGATTAGAAAAATTGGTTTACTATTGAAATGTTGATTTACTAACTAGGAATGGTATGTGTTTTATGCATAGTTAATAGTATGGGAGAGGGAGAGAGAAATAGTGAATTTGTGCCGGAAATCCAATATAATAGTGAATAAGTTTGTGACAAAACTTTTTTGCCAAACATTGCCCAGAATATGATGAAGACCTCTAGCGTATGGAGTGTGTAGTGGATCGACAGGAACGCCACCATTAGATGCAAATAATACCACAAAACTGGTTATTGAGAGGAAACTCAAAATATGTGTTGTTTTTCGTATACACTGTATGTATGAGCAGACAGTCAGTCGTATCATTGAATTGCATTCAATAACAGTGTTATACTGTGTTTGGCGAGAGTGTTGTGAATGAAAGCCATTTAGAGTTAGTTTATGTCATAAATTGTGTATTTTATGAACAAATTATGTGAAATAATCTCATTTTCATATGCATTCACAAAATGGACTGAATATATGGTCTAATTTGTCAAATACAGTGAATATCTCGTGAATTATATCATGAAAACAGTGTTAATATAATATCTGTAATACTCTTAACGTTATTGTCGTCGGTATTGCTAAACATAGGAGTGAGTCATCGCTGATGGGATGCATGAGAAGTGACTCCTATTTGAGACACTATTTGCTTATATCGGACACAAAAACACCAATATTTCAGTGCATTTGCAGCGGTGTGTGGACTAAACCATAGCCATTGACTGTCACCACCAATATATCCAAGCAATAAATCGTAGCACATTTTGCTATATCACTACTCGTGTACCGTTTGTGCCGCCAATCAATCGGTTATCACCACTGATTGACTGCTAATAGACTGTCTTATCACCGGTGGTGCAGTGTATGAGCCCCGGGAGGGATGGCATCGATGTCTTTCCTGGAGTTTTTCCATAAGGGAGGCAAAAAAGTACGCTATAATAAGAATGTAGGACTCATTAGCTTTTCATAATTCATTAATAAGCTAGATACTAATTGTGTCCGTGTTGTGCGAGTGTGTATATATACCCCCATTCGTAGGCTATTCCCCTCCCCTCCCACTCGAGTGTTTAGATTATACTCACGTATGAATTGTCAAATATAGTGTTGACCCAGCCCTTGTGTATCGTAAGCCCAGTGCTGCCCAACACCTGGATATTTGCCTCCGATTCCTAACCCATTGTTGAATGTCTTTGTATTTTGTGTTTGTCTGCATAAGTCATGTATTGTCACTGTTTTGTCGGTTTGTTATGTAATTAATATATTTGTTAACATGTCTTGTATTTAATTATAAAAGTCATTACAAATACAGTTAACATTGAAATGTGTTTGTAATGCAATTATAATGAATACATGGGATAACGTATGGTTTATGGTGAATGGTTTGCATGTAATGTATTGATTGTATTTATGTTTAATCAGTAATGAAATGCCGTATTAATGATGCGATAAATAACTGTCTCATTGTTTGTGTGGACAGACATTTAGGCCCAAGAAGAAGTTTGAGCCTGGTACGCTCAGGTACAGCCTACACAAACAGGCCGTCGCTAGTCTGGGCTCCGGTATTAATCTGCGAGATGTCGTCAAATTACCGCCAGGTTTGCAGCCATTCCTACCTTACCTATCATTGTCTCATAATATTTAATATAAACTTTCACTAAAAAAGACCGCCAACTCTTTCTCCCTCCCATTCCCTCGCAATTCACGTATTAATAAAAAAAACCATTAATTCTCAATACAGAGACAAAACTATTTATTATTTCGTATATTAATGTCTTTCAATTACTTTCGAAGACTATTATCTAATATGTAATAAATATTTCAATACACTATAAGTCCTTTAAACTTATGTCAAAAAACTTTTTTATGATTTTCTTTCTTTTCACTGATTATTACTTTGCGATAAAAGGCATGACTTTATCGTCATTTAAGTTGTGTTTCGAGTTTTGTATGAATTTTGTATCATAAGAGGTGTCAGAATAATATAATTTTCGCAAACATTGAATGCAGTGTTAAACCCAAGAAATTCTAGTCTCTGTTCATTTCGATTATTAATATGTTTTAATGTTTTGAGCGTTTTTTGTTTTAATGACTTTTCTTGTGTTGAATTTTGCAAATTATTAATAATTTATTTTTTTCAATGTTTTTAATAACTTATTGCAAAAAATGTTTCGAAAACCCAATGAAAGTTGTTTTATAATAATATTTTTAGTGGTTTTTATTTTTCATTTAATTTTGATATTAATCTTGTTTTTCCTCAAAATTAATGATTAGTCAAAATATTTTTTATGTTTTAGATTATGTTATAATGTTTTGAGAAATGATTATTTTAATTCAACTATTCTTAGCCCATATTTACCTATTTATTGATTAATATCTTTATTGTTTTAGTGGTAATTAATTTAATTTACAAAATTTTACCAACAATCTCTAGATTTTATTTGAATAGATTATTTTGTTGCCATTTATTAATTATAATTAATTCAAAAACTATTGGTTCGATCATTAATAATAAAATGTTGTGTTTGTTTTTGTATAAAATATGCTTTTTATAGATAGTTATGAAAATGTAATAATTAGGCTATTGTTGACCCCTAAGCCATAACCAACAGCCCTTTTATGTATAAATAATCAGTGCTTTCCGTCGATTGAGTGCCGGGTTTCTCAGGAATTGATGCCAAAAATTATGCAAAAAATGTTTCGAAAACCCAATGAAAGTTGTTTTATAATAATATTTTTAGTGGTTTTTATTTTTCATTTAATTTTGATATTAATCTTGTTTTTCCTCAAAATTAATGATTAGTCAAAATATTTTAGATTATGTTATAATGTTTTGAGAAATGATTATTTTAATTCAACTATTTTTAACCCATATTTACCTATGTATTGATTAATATCTTTATTGTTTTAGTAGTAATTAATTTAATTTACAAAATTTTACCAACAATCTCTAGATTTTATTTGAATAGATTATTTTGTTGCTATTTATTAATTATAATTAATTCAAAACCTATTGGTTCGATCATTAATAATAAAATGTTGTGTTTGTTTTTGTATAAAATATGCTTTTTATAGATAGCTATGAAAATGTAATAATTAGGCTATTGTTGACCCCTAAGCCATAACCAACAGCCCTTTTATGTATAAATAATCAGTGCTTTCCGTCGATTGAGTGCCGGGTTTCTCAGGAATTGATGCCAAAAATTAGGTCTTAAATACATGTCAGCCGCCAATACATGGCTTTGTTTTAGCCATGGATTTGAATTTTTTAGTTGTGTTATTAATTATTCGCTATTATGTTATGTAAACCTCTTTTTCTCGCATTTTTTCTCAATCTTTCGTTATATTGTATAATAGGTTTGTCTGACATTTATTTCTCTCGCAATATAATTACTGTTCAATTGATTTCATAAATAATTCATATTTTTCGATCAGTCATTCAATTTGATTATTACGTTGGGATTATTAAATTAATGAGTCTTTAATTATAATTTTATGTTTTTCGGTTTTATTTCTGTCAATTCATTCATTTAGAGTACAATTTCTCAAGTATTACTTAATATATACAATAATAAGCCTTTCGGTTATGCCTAACAAATGTTTTTTGGTTTTATTAACTCTTTTATTGAGTTATTATTTGATACACTATTTTGTTTTATTAATAGACTTTTGTCTCGAAGTCAAACTCTTTAATCTAATGATCAGTTTTAGATTATTATTACATATTATATTCTTTGATTAACTTTTAGTTATCCACTCATTTAATTAAATTTGAGGTCTTTTTGTAAATTTATTTTAATTTTTCATTTATTTTTTGTGATAAAAATCGTTTAATCATATTATAGGAGTGATTGCAATCAAGAATTTATAGATATTTTTTACATGTGAGTCTCGATTTTGAAATTAATTCAAATATTAATAAGTTTTTTATTACTTTTTTCGATCATATGATGTCTGTATCTGAACTTCATTGCAATGAATATTAATTGAAAATTGAATAAAAAGTTTTATTGCATTTTGCAGTCGATTCTCATTATAGTGAAGTGATTATAGTTGTGAACAAAACTTGTTATAAATTGTATTTAGTTTTACTTTTATGCAAATGTTTGCATACATTATAATAAACATGTTATTATTAAGTAATTTTAATTACATTCTATGGGTTTTATGCAAAGTATTTAGCGAACAATTATTTAGTACACTATAGTCTATAGGCAATAACTTAATAATGGTTTGGCATAATATTACAGAATTCAAGTTCAAAGTTGTGTTTTTTGTTAGTTTTTTCCTCTAAAATGTCAAATGAGATTATGTTTTCATTTTTGGTTTTATGTGTACAATGAGGTCTGAACTCCAGGCGCTCAATGCACCGGAATTTTATACCTAAAACACCATTACTTAAGGCTTTGTGTGTTGTAATGAAATAAATTCACGAATGAGTAGAGGCTTATCATTAGAGGCAATGAATATAATATAGAAATACATAGTTATAAAAAGTAACAAAAATTTCTCCCAAACGCACAAAGAATTGGTTGAGTTTGAGGACCCGGGAGTTCACACAACAAACCTGATTATAATTCACCAAATTATATGATTTTTACAAACTATTATTTATTTGATACCGAGTTTTAAACGCTTTCAATAGGAATATTATTTTTTCCTTAATAAATAAATTTTTATTTATGAGTTTTTATTCTCACAATTCGTATTTGTAATGACATTTAATATTAACTGCACTTTTCATATTCAAAACACCATTATATATGTGATTATAATACTAAAGTGTTTCGTAAATATTCTTATAATTCTTTATGGCATTAGAAACATGTGTCAAACGTTTTATGATTTTAATTGCCTTATTGTGTATTGGATTTTGCATTATTATCATAAATTAAATGTATTTTATATAATAGAGATTTTATGTCAGACCTGTTGTGTGTGTTGTGGTAATCCCTGAACCTTAGGGTCAAGTGCTCCTCCATCTCATCGTCTCTTTATTATACAATGCCTTCAATTGTCTTATTATTATTAGTGTTTCGTATGAGTTATTAAGCTCTTCATAAAACTCAATATTTGTTTTAAGGCCTTATTTGTACAGCAATTGTGTTTTACTTTCTCATTATTTTCTGAACGATTTTGTTACGAATTCTGTATAATATTCTGCAGTCTATTGAGTCCGACATAACACCCACTTAGAGATGTTTTGATGACCTAATAGTCACGATTAGAAAAGTACAATAAATTAATAAAATACATTTGAATAGTATTGTCAAAATGTATTTTGGTTACTTTTGACTGAATGTCAAATATAATAATACAAAACCCCCTGAAGTTTAGAAACTATGGCCCTAATGTTTACTATTATTTAAGAATAATTTATTTTTATGTACTTGTCTTGCATATCATTAGTTTTGTGTTTGTTTTGTATTTATTATTAATACAGTGTTGACTCTGTTATTGAGAGCTATTTATTAAAAACAAATTTTTATATATTTTTGTTTATTATCAGAATATCTGATATTTCTTTTATGTTTAAGAGACCACTTGAGAGTTGGCCTAAAAATTATGCGAAATATATATTTTATTTTTATAAAAATCTTAATTTTGACTACTTTTTAATATTCAATCGAAAATAAGATCAGATTATTTTTCATATTTTTTTTTATTAAATCTGTTGTTTTTTAATTTGTGAACTCAATGTTGAAAACTTATAATTAAGTGATTAATAAAATTATTAGAAATTTATAATTATATAGTTTTACTTAAGAAATTCTGTTATCAAAGGCTTAAATCAAAATTTTTTATTTTGTTTTGTGTATTTGTTTAATTTGGCAAACAATAAGAAAGTCATATATTTGACAATCAGATCAATCAATTCAGCAAAACCTGTGTTTAAAAGTTGTTATTTAGAAAAGTCTTAATTTAATTAAACATTCTTTCGTTGCAATCATTTATTTTTAAAATATGTGTTTTAAAAAACTATTTATATTAACAATTAATGTGTTTAAATGAGTTTTGATCGCATCATTTCCTCGCAAATCAGTCGTCCCTTTCCTTATCTGTTAATCACATAATTATAACATATTATTAATGACAACATTGTGTTTCATTTGATTTCTTATCACTCGATATAATAAACATATTTTTGTATATATTTTTCGGATTCCCTTAATATGATTACGAAAATGTATTGTTGTTTTGTTTTTACGTCAAATAAAGTCGTGAATATTTAATACTTAATCAAAAATTATCGGAAGATCGCAATGAGTTTTCATTAACACTTGCAATGAATTGTAATAATTTTTATTTTCCGGAATTTGTTACGAATTATTGCATCGAAATGCAAAATCAGTTTTCATTATAGTTTTATTTTATACTTTTTTTGCACTTTTCAGTGTTTTTTGAAAATTATCCCAAAAGTTGTCATTTAATAGGAAAAAATAACATTTAGTATAGTTTAAATAAAATAAAAAATAGTATATGAGACTAGATTTCAAAATAAATTACAAAAATACACGACTATTTTTAAGTATTACTTAGCTTTACTCTGTTTTTAATTTCTAGTTTATAAATATTTTTAGTATAATTTCCTACGGTTTTGATAAAAACATCTCAGAACTACTCTTCACTTTAATTGCTATGAAATTTTAAATATATTTTTTAATACAATTTAATACTTTTTATATTTATATCATTTGTCACTACCAATATAATTATAATTATTATTATTTCTGTGGTTTATATGCATTTAGTGAATATATAAATAGTTTTGAACTAAATTTTATTTAGCAATTCGTATGATTAGTATAAATACAATCTATAGCTGACTATCGAATTACCAAAACATAAGACATTTGTGACTCGTTTTGGGCCACAATTTGATTGTGTGTTTTGAATACTAATCATACGATTATCCAAAGGCTACGATTGAAATACTGTTATTATTTGAGGAATACTTTTACACAAAAATGCCGTTTTGTTCGCCACTCAAATCGGCTATCATTTTAAATATAGACTTTGATATAAAGGTAGAGTTTGTCTCCCATTTCATCGTTGCCTCAATTATAAGTTTTTAACTTTTAAATAATGGTATTTCTATTACATAATATTACGGGTATTTGTGTCCTCTTTTGCTGCCCTATAGTGAACCCTCTTATGACAACTTTTTTTGTATAAAAAGGATAACATTATTCACGAATCGCTCTTATAATCACATTTATGACAAAAAAGTTAATTAATTTGAAAATAAAATTTTAAACGTCTCTTAAAATAACTTTAAAACATATTATAAAGCACTCGATCAGTGAACAGGAGATTATCGGAGAATTAATATTTAATATGTTTTTCACGAATATTATCGCATGTGATAAGTGTTGGATATATTGAACCCCTTTTCTCGTGTCTCTAATCTATTTGTCATAATTTATAAGTTTTTGAGAAGATTTTCTGAGATCTTTAACTTAAAAAAGTTTTCATACGATGTCTTAAAAATGAAATTTTAAATTATATTTAGTATTCAATTACTCCATAATTTTGAAGCCTTTTTAGATAAATTAGGATTAGATTTAAGCATCTATTTTGTTGATTTTAATCAAAATATTTATAACAGTAATTTATATGAGTTAACAATCTATGTGTTGAAAGTTTGAAAGTTTCAACTTGAAACTCATAATTGGTTATAAATTATGATATATATTGAGATAATTACTGAAATTCTTAAGTAATTCTATTGACTCCCGATTCCTTCAAATAGTCTACAATTGATTATCAATCCCTTAAAGCATACAAAAGTTCATTAAAACTATTTATTCAAACCTTGTTAAAAAAAATTAGCAATCATTTTAAAATCTTTTTAGCAAAATATTAAATTATTTTTAAAAAAATAATAAATGAGTTCAAAAACTTTACAATTTTAAACGATTTCAAATCATGTGAACACTGTTTATATTTATAGTGAGTATCATAACAATAATTATGCATTAATTATAACTGTAGATAATTAATGGCTAAATAGAGTCTCATTAATGGTATAATATTAATACTAGGTTTGCTGCATTTGGTCCCTTTAAGACATTTGTCTATTAGTCTTGTATTGAATTAATAATGAAATGAATTTTAAATGTATTTTGTGTTCACAGGCGAAGACCTAATGGATTGGATAGCCGTACATGTGGTGGACTTTTTCAACCGAATAAACCTGATATACGGCACAGTATGCGATCACTGCACAGAAGATACCTGTCCCCGGATGAGCGGCGGACATAAGTACGAGTACTTATGGGCCGATGGCGTCAAATACAAAAAACCCGTACCCCTACCCGCGCCCCGATATATCGCACTACTCATGGACTGGATTGAGTCGCAGATCAATAACGAGGCCATCTTCCCCACCAAAAACGACATCCCATTCCCCAAACAGTTTATCCCCACGTGTAAGAAGATATTGGCGCGACTGTTCCGGGTCTTTGTTCACGTCTATATCCACCACTTCGACCGGCTGTTGACCATCGGTGCGGAAGCGCATTGCAACACATGTTACAAACATTTCTATTATTTTGTTAATCACTTCGATCTCGTCAGTCAAAAGGAGTTTGAGCCACTCGTAAGTGACATACCGTTCCCATTGTACGGGATGGTAGAATTTTGCTTGATATTAGTGTATGCAACTTCCCGTCACTCTATTGTGTTATAATTATACGACATTATGGCTGAAAGCAAATGATTTTCTTTTATTGAATAAACAAATTATAGTTAATGAGTGTAATTCACCATTTTATGGAAAGTTTTGCTAGTTTTTTGTAATAATAAACCATTTTTAGTGATATATAAACTAGTTTTAGGGGACATTTGAGCTTTGTTTATATCTTTTTATAGTTTTCCGTGAAAGTGAATCATAAAAAGTATTTTCTGACGACTTTCCCCTCTCTCATAACCCCACCTATAAGTGCCTTTAATTAAGACACCTGTCATTGAGGTCTTTGAGTTAAAAATGGTTTTTGTTTTGCTTCAGAAATTGTTTTTAATAAAAAGCCTTTTCTTAGTGTTTATTCATATCATCCCTCAATCTATGGCTGAGAAGTTAATCTTAGTTTTGGAAAACTAATTATTCGCTGAAATCCTTGACTAATAAGACTAATAAATGTTTGCGAAAAAGTTCCTCAAAATTGTTTTAAAATTGTTTTTTCCAAACCATCTGTTCAAACATTAAAGTTTTGAAATTATTTTATTTCTTTCATTTAAAACATATGTTAAAATGATATCAAATATATTTATGAAAATTCTTCACATTATTTCGTAATTATATTTATTCAGAAATGCACGAAATATTTCTGGTTTAGAGAGAGAGAGAGAGAGAGAGAGGAGGGAGATTATTATAGTTATTTATGATTTATTTAGTTAATAATTTTTAATGCCATTCACAATAGTATAAAATTTTTACTATAAACAATTGAATTGAATATAAACATAAAATAATGAATTATTGCTAAACTTTCAGTGTGTGCACAATTTATAGTGTGGCGTGTTTTTTTGTGTATTTATGTTTAGTAATTTAAATGATTACTTTTGATTTGTATTAACAATTAAAATTTTAAAAATTGAATTTTAATTATATTTTTATTTTGTCTTTCATTTAGACTGAACTCACGAGAAGGATATGCGAAACAAAGCCATCCAATGAATTGTCGTTTAAATGATTATTAATTATGAAGTTATGAAGCGATATAATCATTAATATTAATATTATTATTTTAATCTAATCGTCAATTAATTTCTCGAATAATGAACTTTATTTTATTTTGTTTTTTTAATTTTTTGTTTTCACTATTATTTCTATTGTTTGACTATTTCTCTGTGAGTGAATTATATGTCGTTATATAAAACAAAATACCGTATAAATCACTTTTGCATTTATTTGTCTAAAAATACAGTTATTGACTATTTTTCTGTGTAATATATCTATCGACACATCTCTTTGATGTTCACAAAGTTATCAAAATATTTAATTTTAAAGTTACTTTTCTAACAAAAATAGTGACAAACATTTCTGAGTTTGAATCATGTTTATTAATAATTTTCAATCATTTAATTGGACTTTTAGGCAATAATTTTGATAGAATTGTAACGATTTTTGTATTTATACTCTAATGAGATCTATAGTTAGATAACAAATAATTGATTATTTTCTATAAACTTTCTAACATATGATTTTAATTGCCCTGTTGATTGATTATTTTTTTATTATTTACAATTGAGCAGATATTAATTTCTTGGTATAGTTTACTAATTAATTAGATTTTATATTTTTTGATTAACTATTTTTATTTATTAAAACCTATCATTAATTTATGAACAATTGTATATAAATCATATGATTTTACTAAATGTCTAAATAATAGATTATCTCATTAGTGTATGAATACGACAATCATATCCTAAAGGCTTAATAGCATTAAAATTAATTCAAGAGCTTTAGTAATAATCAGAGGAAATATACTAATTAATGCAATTTACATGAAATAGATAGATACGAATTAAATGGTATATACCGTAAATAACCTATTCTTTGTGTCAGAATATATAAAAACTATAAAATCTGTTTATTTTTTTAAGCTGAAACATATTGTGAATTTATCAGTTAATTAAATCCGATATTTTAGCACTTAATCATAAACAGAATAATTATAAAAATTTAAATCTTATACAACAAAAATAAATATATAATTTTTCCTAATTAATGAAAAATATTCTGTTAACACAAATGCTTTAAATTTTAGATAACATTTTCTACCGTAATATTTTTGTAGCCCTTGCCTGAAATATGCATTTATATAAAAAATAACTTTATACTACAGTATATTAAAATTATTTTCAAGACTGTTTTTAAAATTATCTAATTATAGAAAATTCTCATAAAACTAATGAAATGTATTTTTTGTTTTAAGACTTTTTTCAATTCATTCACTTCTAGTCAATGACTGAATACACAAACTATTTGTACAAAAAACAATTACAGAAAAATAATTGACAAAATTTTCTCAGACACTATGTTTGAACTAATGTCTATATCTATCATACATTCATTTGATGCCAATATTTCGATATTTTAATTATAATTATTTGGAAATAAAAGTTTAATTTTGTTTTTTGAATTGAATTGCAAAAATAAAATTTGATTAAACAAAATAAAAATATGTTTATATTTTCACTTTATATTTGAAAATAATCTGATTTGCTCTCAATTTGTCTAATTTGGTAGTTTAAATTTTTTTTATAATTAAATGTTGTTTTTAGTTATTTAAAAATTTACTAATTAAATCTCAATTTTATAATTCACTTTATTTAATGAAATTGAAATTTTTACCTTTTATAAGTTTTCATGTACTTTTCTGTTAGTTTATTATTTAAATTAATTTGGTTTGATTGACAGATATGATATAGTTATATGAAAAATGAGTGCAAAAGCGCTAAATCTTTATTGTTTGTCACTCATATGTCGTATAATAATATATAATTTTTCATATAAATTAATTTTCACAAAGAATTATATAATGAAATGCCTTAATTATTTAATTATAAATACATAAACCATGAAAAGGAGCGCAAAATTCCCAGAATTAAATCAAAAGTCACACAAAAGTGTTTAAACACTTTCATACCGACAACTGCCGCACATTAACCCCAATATATATATCAATTGATTTACAATATCTTTCCGTACTTTTTATGGAATATATTCCGAGAAATACAAAATTCTAGATATTTATATAAATAGACATTATTGTTATAATTCTTAGAAATTATTGAAAAATAGACACAAAAATAAAAATAAACAGGGCACAATTAAGTATTGTTTGATATTGACAATACGATTAGTTGACGATGACGTTTATGAAAGTTGATCGTATTTATATAATAAATTAGTAGTGATAATAATAAGAATTATAGGAGATACTAAAGTTCTATATTCAATTATTGATTCCTGTACCATAGAATTTAATTAATAAATGATTAAACTTAAAAGTTGAAAGATAATAAAAAATAGTGTTAAATAAGCAAATGATACTTAATTGACTGCATGGATGTACTGTACGGTACTTTTTAGAACTTTATAACTTTCTGTATAATATTGTACAAAATAAAGTCTCCAATTAATTAGATTAGTATTGCTTGATGTTTACAATCAATTTGTTTGGAAATACTAAATTAAAATGTGATATAATATGAATTTCATATTATGTATAATATACAGTTATTTGAATTTAGGAAATAAAAATAACCATTTAAATAATTACAAATTTTTAATTAAAGATTTAGTTTTGTAAATAAAATTAAACATTAATTGTATATGATAGAATGTACAATTTATAAAAATCTATTCATATTAACTTGTTAATTTTATAACATATTATACAAATTATTAAATATCTTTTAATTAAATCTACAAAATTAGAAAGCTATTTAGTTTAAATCTTTAATAGTATTACTTTATTTCACATTAATAAGTGTAACATACCGATAAGTATTTTATTGCTCCGATTATTTATTTAAAAAACTAAATGCAATTTTATTTGTTTATATAACTTTTACAATTTCATATAATGAATAATTAATTCAATTGGCTTCTCTATTGTATATGCAAATA